AAAAAAAAAAAAAACCAAACCAAAAACCAGATAGGCCCAATAACATACTGGTGAAGGTACTTGCCCAACAAGTGAGAGTCCCATATTCTAACCCACATCTCACTCTCATCATCAAGAGACAATCTGAACCTCCATGTCACAATTCCTAGCAAAATGCTTTAACTGCCATGCCAAGGACTAGGCCAGTGAGGCCAAGTTTTCTGGCCTACATGCTATAGATTAATCCTGCCCTCTCCGCAAATGCAGTTCTGATCCCCTTCTTCTGCTTTCTGCTTCCTGACCAATCTGTTGCATACCACACACAAAGTCTGCATGTGCCACTTGTATTGCAGTTCGCCACTCCTGGACTAGGTATCTCCCAAGCATCCTCCAGCTCTGCTCTTGAAGTGGGCCTATAGAACAGACCAGAGGGGAAGTATTGTGGGGCCAAGACTGTGGTTCATTGAGATGGGCACTGCCCTACTGGTTTATTTTTATTTTTTTGGATCTTGCATTTAATTAATTGGGTAAAGAGCAGTGAGGTAGTTTCTGCTCCCTCCAAAGCCCTGTTCCTTTCACTAAACCACATGCCCTCTGGTCTTGTTTTTTTCCTGACTTCATATATCTTCCCCTCTTGTCTGCCTAAGTGGAAATAAACACCACCATGGTCACCCTAAAGCAGGATTCTTGTAGTAGGAAAAAAACAGAAAATCAGCTTGATTCCAGGAAAATCATCTAACCCAAAATGAAACAGTTAACCTACTGAGTCTCTGGACCCACTCAAACTTACTTATAAAATAGCAAGTAAATCAAAAGCAAAATAAACAAACAAACAAAAATAAAAGTTCTTAGGGAAAATAGGGTTCATGTTGCATCCTAGCTCATCTAGTTCATTCTATTCAGCTTGTTTCTACATATAAAACATCCTTTATTTGATTGCCTGACTTGACAGCAGGGAATCTTAGGCTGCTTATCTGTTTTAAGAATAATGCTGAACTTGTGATCTAGTGTTCCTCAACTTGGCTGTAGGTTTTTTGTAAGATGAAGCATTCAAAATAAAGTAGCAGATATCTAAAACAATGTATCATTTAAATAAGATCATAACACATATAGAGGCACTCATACAAAGTGAAATGTAAGTGGGAAAACACAGGTGAAATGTTTAAAGACTGACCAGAGTGAGTGAGGGGGATTGGCTATGTTTGCGAAGGAGCAAGAAGTATCTGTTTAGAAAATTAATACATTCTAAGACTAATTTGATAGAGCAGATCCAAGAGAAGTATTTGTTTTTATGCAATTAGGACAAGCTCATTTGTCTAAATTAGTGCCTGAGATCCAGTAACTATTTTAAAGTTTTGCTACCTCAAGCCAGTCACTGAAACTGCATTCCTGTAGACAGCGATTTTCACGGAATGCAACTGAGTACAATTGAGTACTCAACCTGCAGCTAGCCACTGATTAAAATACCAAATCCAAAGGCTGTCAGTTTCTCTTCTGTGTACATTAGGGCATTACTATTATGTTATGGAAGAACTCAAACCTGGATGCAGTAAATGCCTTTTTTTGTTCTTGGCCCATCTGCTCTATTCCAAAGCACGCTGAGAAAAAGAAATTAGTTAAAAACTGAATTTATATAGGTTTGCTTGGGTCTAACAAAACTAGGAGTAGCTGTGGGTTGGTGAGGAAAGGAGGTGTCAGGGTACAGCAAGATTTTGTACTCATCTCTACCCCTGCATGACCTGCCCGCATGCACTTGTAGCCAACACTCGAAACTTGGAGACATGCTGGTCTATGGTGGGCCTGAGAGCAAGTACTGGGAATAAGTCTGAAGTAACTTCACTGGCAAACTTCCAAGTTTGGAGCAAGTCAGCAAATGTGAGTTTCACTAGCAAACTGGTTTGCCAGTGGTTTAAAGCAGATACAGGTGGGCAGTGCATGTGCACTGCATGCTCAGGCCCCTTGGTGCCAGGACCATTGTTGCAGTGTTAAGGACAAGCTCTTGGAAGCATGAGTATCCATGCTGCATTGCAGCCAGGACCAGAAAGACTATTTGGAAAGAGTTTTCAAGAGGTCAGTACTGGAGAGTCCAACAAGCAATAAGGAGAAGTGGCAGCATGTGACTACTCAAAGAAGGAGGGCCCCCAGAATTGAAGAACAGTGGACTGAAGTCAGCAACCACTTTCAAGCACTCTGCAGTGGAATTGCTGAGGAAAAGGCGGAGGAGAGGAT